AAATAAGAAGAAAAAGTTATCTGTGCACTATCCAAATATTCCATCGGCAATACGTCCAGTTCCTCATGGAGAGGGGCTACCAATTCCTAAAGCACCAGAATCCTTTGTGGTTGAGTCAAGTGAGGAAGAACCTGAAGCGTGTAGTCACGTGCAGTTGTAAGAGATAGCCCTTTCCTCGAATACAAGAGAAAAGCCAAGAGAAGCAAAACCGACACAAACTGAAGACAAAACTAGTGAGAATCCTAAGTATTAAAATGATTCAACTTAGCTTATGGCTATAATTTTTCTTGGTAATCCTATGCAATATATTATGCCATTTAGGCTTTGTTATGTAGTCAATATCACTTGCTTTATATTTGTGGAAAGACATTATCTGTATAATTATTGTGCATTATGTAGTCATTACGCCTATAGTAGAAAACTTTCCGTTTACAGAAAAACTAGAGCCAATTGACAAATTTCATTGTTATATTTGAACTCAGAATGTGAAATTCATTAAGAAATGGATCCTTTTCTTTCCAAAACTGGCAAAAAATAAAAATTTGTTGAACAGTGTTATTAACATCCATAAAACTTAAGGAAGACACAAATAAGAAAAACCCTACCCCCTCCATATCTACATCTCTCTCCGCTGATAGAAATAAATTCCATATACTCCTACTACACAAATATGACTTAAACCTACAGAAAACAAAAACACGATTCTACTCCCTGGCTAATAAGGCAAACTCACTCCTAATCAAAACAATTAAGCAAAAACACCTTAAAGCTAAAATTATCTCTATCCGCCACCCTACAACACACGACTGTCTTACAAACCCACAAGATATAGCGGAGGCCTTTGCTGATTACTACAAGACACTATACAATATTATAGATGACCCAAATACATCTCAACCAACACCCACACTAATACACAAATTTCTAAACATTATAAATCTTCCTCACCTTACATCCTCACAACTTGAATCCATATCTTCCCCTATAATGCCAGTGGAAATAGAACAAACCATTCGATCGTTGCCTCTCAACAAATCCCCAGGCACTGATAGGCTTCACCAATGAATTTTATAAAACAGTCGCCCCACATTTAACTCCCTATCTCTCCACGCTCTATAACCATGTGGCTGAAGCAGGCACTTTTCCGAAAGAAATGCTAATGTCCATAATCACTACAATCCCAAAACCAGGCAAAGACCCCCAATTAACCCATAATTATAGACCAATTTCACTGCTAAACACAGACATCAAACTTTACGCCAAAATAATAGCTCAAAGACTACTACCTTCTCTTCCCCTACTAATCCACCCGGACCAAGTAGGATTCACCCCCGGCCGCCAAGCACCCGATGCTACCAGAAGATTGTTATCTCTCCTCCACAAACTTTGACTCCACCAAACAACCCTCTATACTCCTTTCCCTTGATGCAGAAAAAGCTTTAGATCGTATACATTGGCAATTTATGAAGCTAACGCTACAAAAATTTGGAATTAACGGTTGGATGCTCTTTGCAATCCTCTCGCTTTATTCACACCCATCGGCCAGAGTATTGACAGACGGTACACTGTCCAAACCCTTTCAAATATCTAATGGCATGAGACAAGGTTGCCCCTTGTCCCCCATAATATTTACATTACTCATTGAACCTTTAGCTGCGCGTCTCAGAGCTGACCCTTCCTTCACAGGGATCACCCATCTTGACAGAGAACATAAAATCAGCCTTTTTGCAGACGATATCATATTAATGATCACAAACCCGCACAAATCTCTTAATGCAATACGATCCCATCTTCAGTCATACTCGGAAGTCTCATACTATAAATTTAATGAAGCCAAATCTTCGATTTTAAATCTTCATGTACCTACCAAAGTCCAGCAATCATTAATTAAACAATTTCCCTTTATATGGGAACAACACAGCATTCTCTATTTGGGAATTAACCTCACTTCCTCGGTACAGAAACTCTATGGGACTAATCATAAACTTCTCCTCGACTCTATCCCACAGGAACTTAACAATTTACGCACGTCTACACTATCCAAACTTGGGAGAATTTGTATACTCCCCAAAATTTTATATACATTCCGCACGCTTCCTGTACCAGTCCCAAATAGCTTCTTCCATAAGTTACAAACAATTTTTGCTAAATTTCTTTGGAACTCAAAGCGCCCGAGATATACAACTAATCTCCTAATACGCCCAGTATCCAGAGGGGGTGCAGGTCTTCCACACCTCAAATCGTATTATACTGCAACCCTCTTAGACCAGATTTATTTCTGGTGGCACCCAACCCAGGAAAAGATATGGTCTACTATGGAAACGATTCCACAGCGTTTGAGCTCACCTAGAGATATCCTATTTACTCCACGTATGCAGCCGTCCAACAATATATTCCACCACCCCTGCATTCAGGCTACTATACAAGCGTGGTACGATCTCATAAACTACTCCTCGACAGACACCATATCGCTACCCACCCCTATTACCACCCTACACCTTATAATACCTTTCTTAAATCTAACACAATGGCGTCGACATGGAATTACACACTTACAACAGCTGTATACAAGGAATACCATTGATTCCTTCTCCACTTTACAAAGTACATTTCATCTCCCCAACTCAGAACACTTTACATATTTAAGAATTGCACATGCTATGTGCAACACATCTACTCCAACTCTGATTAACATCCCTACCACGGCATATAATTTCCTAAACAAATCACAATATCCGCGAAAAGGGATTTCCACTTTTTACACACTCAGTATCAACTCGCAATTTTCTCCACAAACGACTTCCCTTAGTAATTGGGAGAAACTCTTAGCTCAACAAGTCCCACTCCGCACATGGGAGAAAACCTTTAATATTACCTATAAAGCCTCTCGATGTAGCACCCACTGGGAATCCTTTTTAAAAATACTACACCAATGGTACCTGACTCCAGTAAAACTCTCCATGTACTATCCTCTACATTCCTCCCTTTGTTGGAGGCAATGCGGAGACAAAGGATCGACTCTCCATATACTATGGTCATGCAAATCAATTAGATCATACTGGAACAATGTTTTTCATTTCATCTCAGCATTAACTGAATCTCCAATCGCTCCCAACCATGCCCTCGCTATTCTCCATATTGACATTGGTCAGTTCCCTAAAGAAACCCGCACGATCATCGTTCATATATTAGCTGCGGCAAAACTTAATATCACTAGACTGTGGAACTCCACTAAATCCCCTTCTCTCACCTCACTCATATTGGATCTAAACATCCAATGTGATATGGAGAGAAGATCATCTCTAAATACCTCTACCTATCATAAGTTTCGATTTCAATGGGCTAGATGGCTACGGAATCCGAACTGTTCTGTAATATGCTGATTACCTACACTACTGAAACTGACTCCTGTAACGTTCAAGTGATATGCTGGTTCCGAACCCCTCCCCTCTCCCCCACACCTGTCCCCCCCCCCTCATACCCCATACCTCTTCCTTCCCTACTACATGTTATTGTTTGTTTATCATTCCTGTCTACTCTTATAACCTACATTATGTTTGCGGCTCTTAAACTATTAATATGTTTACTTTGAATGCAATATTGGAAACCATTGCCCCGGCCTCATGGTGGGGTAGTTATCCTGCTTGTCAATTTTATTCTGTTGATTGAACCGTAAACCTATGCTATGTAAAACTTTGAAATGCTTAATAAAAATTATTTGAACATATTGAAAAAGTGCACTACGACCAAGGGCATGGAGTGATGGTAGCATATTCTCTTTTAATATAGAGCAGTACATCTGTGAATTCATAATACCATCAATGAAATGCAGCTCCCTAACACCAGTAGCACTCATGCAGCCCCACCGAAGGACACTGCCACCACCATGTTTCACTCTAGGCACCATGCATTTTTCTTTGTACTCCTCACCTTTGTGACGCCATACAGTTTTGAAGCCATCAGTTCCAAAAACATTTATCTTGGTCTCATCACTCCAGAGTACAGATTCCCAGTAGTCTTCTTCTTGCTCAGCATGGGTCCTGGACAATTTTAGGTGGGTTTTTTTGTGCGTGGGCTTTAGGAGAGGCTTCCTTCATGGATGACACCCATGAATGCAATTCCTCTGCAGTGTATGCTTTATTGTGTCACGGGAAACAATCACCCCAGTTTCTACTTCTTTAGCTAACTGCAGTGAAATTGCATGGCAATTTTCTTTAACCATTCTCATCAAATGATGCTCCTGTCGAGGTATTAATCTCTGTGGATGACCTGGACATCTTTGTGAGATGATTGCAGCTCCATCTTTGTTAAAATGTTGTATCACTTTTGCTACAGTATTCTGACTGATAAGTACAGCTTTGCTGATCTTCCTGTAGCATTCATCTTTCTTGTGTACAGAAAATATTTTATTTTTCAGGCCTTGTGACGTTTCTCTTCCATGTGGTGCCAATGCTGACAACATAAAAAATGGGAAGGGTGTTTTTTGTTAAGTAACATCCTTTTATAATCAACTGTCTGCTGGACACCTGTTTAATGAACAATTAGATTCATCTGTAGTTGAATTCTTGTTAATTAGGATTTTGTTGTCTAAAACTTAGCTTTTCTCCTAAGACTTTCATTAAGTTGTATTCATTTTTGCAACATGGTCATGAATGAATTTGTTTGGAAAAATACTTTTTTGGGTGTGCAAACTAACAAATCTTATTTGAAATCAATGGCCTACATTTGTGAGAGTATTTTCTAGTATAGTGTCCCATAGAAAATGTTGAGATGAAAGTAAAAGCTTTCAGACAAATCTGTTAAGGTGTACTCATTTATGCTGAGAACTGTATATTTTACTGCACCAAACTAATTACAGGATTACTTGGGTGCAGTCTTATGGGAGATCACAAGCTGATAGAAGCAATCAACCTGTGTGAGTAGTGTTATGGTGTATAGAGCACAGGTCACCCAAAAAAAGAACAAGGTAGAGGGAATTAATTTAGTTAGGCATGTTACATTCTTCAACCTCCCTGGCGGTATTCCCGAGTGTAGCTCGGGGTAGAGTTTCAGCACCAAAAGCGGTAACCCCGAGCTACACTCGGGCTTACCATGCAGCGTTGCTCAGGGATTCCCTGCAGCGCTTACCTTGCCCTTCGCTCCCGCGATGTGTCCCCAGCAGCGTCCCCGGCCATCTCCTCCAGCCGATGCCGGCATCCGGCTTCCGTGTTCCGGTCCCTGTGACGTCGGGACATACGGGCGCCGGAACCGGCGGCACATTTAAAAATTTTAAAAAATGTCATTTTTTTAAAAACGATTATTACATAGTAAAACATTGCTGTTTCAAACCATTTCACATACATTTTGTCCCGAGTGCTTTGTCCTGTGCCCTGCCTGCATTTTGACTGTTCTTTTTGCCTGGAAACTTAGAAAAGTCCATGGAGTCCAAAAAGCGTCCCTTTAGGTCAAAAGTGGTTTTAGACTGGCTAGAGAACAGCGATAGTAAATCAGAACCACTTGCAGAATTGAGTGATAATGATTTGTGGGGAAATTCGTCATCAAACAGTGAAAACGATTTTGCAACTTTGCTCAGCGATGTGCGAACTTGGCGCTATATTTCAAATTTCAGTGTTTTTGGTTTGATTATATTATTGAATTAAATTTATTATTATTATCTTATTATTTTTTATGATTATTTATTAAATTATAATTTATGATTTTGTGTTTCTAGTTTTATCATACCCGGGATGTTTACTAGACTCTTGTTCGGACAGATTTCAGTGAGTTATTCCTAAAAATTTACAGGCCTACAATAAAATAAATGACATATTTCCATGCAAAATAATGGTACCGCTTTCAGCACCAAAAATCTGAAATAATCAGACCGCTAGGGAGGTTAAACATCATGTGCTTTCCTCTTACTGGCTGCAAGATCACTGCTGTGTACTGTAGTGATGTATGGATTGGCACAGCTAGAGAGCAGGCATCTGATAAACCTGGAAGTGTGTTGGATAATGAGTTTTCAGAGGATGTAGATACACACCAAAGTGACAATCAGAGCCAGCATGCATTGGTAAGTATCGGCAAGAATAAATAAATAAAAAAAAATATATATATATATATACATACAGTATATATATATATTTAGTGGCTTTGTTCATATTTGCTTTCTTTTTTTTTATGGCCAGTAATAAAAGATATTATGTAAAACAACAGTATTTGTGTAAAGTGTATAGTACTGGTCAATTATATTAAATATAAACAGTGCTTATCTCAACTCACAGCACAAGAATGGACATACATTTTAGAAAACAGGGACTTTGCTTTTCAAAAATGTATGTCCATTCTTGTTCTAATAGTCTTTTTTAGTCATATAAAGGAGAAATGTTGCATATTGTTGTTATTTTCCCAATAGGTACCACCTGGCATGGGAGCCTGTCTCTGTACTGTATCTGTATGCTGGGTAGCAGAGCAGAATGTTTGCTGCTGCTACCCCCTCTTTATCCCCATCTGTCACTAATCACCAAGGATGCTGTCAGCTTCCCCACTGACAGGCCCCTAGCCACCAGTGTTGCTGACAGAGGGTGAAACCTAAGGCTACGTTCACACTAGCGTTGTATGCAGGAGGCAGAGAGGCGTTTGGGAAGCGTTTTTACCGCTTCCCAAACGCCTCTGCCAATTCTGCACATTACAGCACATGGTGCTGTTCTAACGGGAGTGTTTGCGTCGCGTTGCGTCATGGCAAAACGGACGCCTCTGGTCGAGTCAGGATGCTTTGAAGCCTCCTATTCTCGTCAATGGTGCCGCTCCGCAAACGCCCGGCCGGCGTTTGCAGTGCGGTTGCGGGGTGTTTGCGGAGTGGTAAACACCACTCAAACTGCATTATAGGCGTTTGTAGGGCGTTATTAATGCTCGGCAAACGCCTAGCAACCGCCGCTAAACTGCGCATGCGGCGTTTGCGGAGCGTTTGCCAAATGTTAAAAAACGCTCCACAAACGCCGGACCAACGCTTGCCAAACGCTATAGGGGCGTTTGGCAAGCGTTGGTAAAACAGCCAAGTGTGAACGAGCCCTAAAGGGGAAGCTAAACATAAAATTTCCTACCAGGTCCACTCTATCCTTGTGAGTGACGTTGCCGGCTGTCAGTCGTAAAGAGAGTGGACTCAATGGGGGACTAATGCCTCTGAATCCCCATCAAGCTCTGCCCAGCCAGCTACAAAACTCCTCAGCCACTACTCTGCCTGTGACAGATGCAGAAGTAAAGAGAGAAATCATCTGCACTGAGAACAAAGTGTCCATATAAACAATCTGAAATCGATCATCCTCTCTCCGTGGTGCTTTCTCCAAATTCATGGGCATGTTTCTAACATGCACGTTTATGGGTATATTTTTCTGAATAAAGAATTTTGAGCTCAGAATATATATGTAATCATGAGCGCCAGCAGGTATATATTTGCTCCTAGTGTATTCTTTGTGACAGAATTGTTCTCAATTGAGATGAAGAAAAGAAAAAGGGACAAACGCACTGGAACAGATCAAAACCACATGTATTAAAATGCATGTCAGTAGGCACAGTTATTCTGCAGTTGTGCCACAACAGGCTTATTTTACTGCACTGCTATATGCCATTTTGTACAAGTAATGTGTAAGTGTCCTATATGTATTCCTTTTTTATTTTTAGAAAATCTTCTAGTTATGCAAATGTTTGCTGGGGACAATATAGTCTGGATATATTTGCACTTAAAGTCCAAGAACATTTTGAATGATTCGGTATATTTAATATTCTCCATTAGATTACTGCTATTCTTCCCATGGCTTACTATATATCACCCCTGTGCGGGGTTGACCAGAAGGTTCCTGTTTGTGGAATTACACAACCATTTAGTAATTGGCTTTTAAACTAATTTCTTTGGTCAGATGCCCCACATCAAACTGATATTACATTATAGAATTTTATATTATACTGCATTTATATTGAACTGCTATTGTATTGCTCTTTGGTTTTGATTCTTTAATATCAATTTTGTTTATTGGTGTTGATAATGTATATGTATAAACACTTTCTATCTTTTGTTTTTATTTTTGTATTTTCACCTATGATTGGTTGGAAACTGTATTTGTACCTGTTATTTCCTGAGGAAACCTATGCAGGGGAAATATGTTGAGATCTACTACACTATATACATCTCTATTTGGAAGACTAGTTTTGGAGACTATAATTTAGAAATATGAAAAATGAATAGTTCCCTATGTTTTTAATATACACCTATGATTTTAGAAATATGTTTAAATAAAAATGTGGGTATTTTTAATCAATTTGGCATTGTATGACTAGCATCATCCAGCAAATTCAAGCTCTTTGAGCTATATTTTTCTTGTTAAATGTATTTTTTGTGATTATTCCACATAACTGAAGTACTCTAACCCCTAAACTCATTCTAGAACAAGGACATTGTTTCTGTGAATTGGAGGCCCAAACTGCACATGCAAATTCAAGATGAAGCTGAGCCAGTGTTTTATAATGGGGCAGAATTATGGACTAATCTCTGGAATATATACCCTTCTTAATTCAAGAAATTATTCTGTAGAATTTGTTAGGTACAGTTTGCCGTTACATGCTGTTATAATCCAGAAGGACCTCCAAATCATTTTCCATTTTTTTTTTGAACCTGAGTATATAACTTCACATCTTTCAATACAGAACTTATCTGCCTTGTAGTAGGCCACCCTCCTATTTTATCCATGATTTCTTGTAAAAGTGCATCTGGTGCCAAATTTATTTTCACTGAATAATTTGGTTTTATCAGCAAACACTGATATCAATCTCCTAATTCCAACCAAAACATCAATAATAAACAAATTAAACAGCATCAGCCCCAAGCCAGAGCCATGTGGCACACCACACACAACCTTAATCTTTTTAGAGAATTTGTCATTTATCCTACTTTCAGGATATGTTCCTGTAACCAGTTTTCTATTCATATACATACAATTTCTTCTACTCCAAAAGAGCTTATTTTATAAATTAAATGTTTATAAGATACAACATCTACTGGCATTTCTCTAGATTCCAACTTTCTCATGGAATGTTCACAGGGTTGTCTGTTAAGAACAATCTTCTTTAAAATAAATCCACACTGGTTGTAACTCGAAAGCTCGAAAGAGTAGGGCCCTCTTGCCCCTTGTGTGCTGTTTGTTGTTACTGTACTGTTTCATGTATTGTCCCCCCCTCTATTGTACAGCGCTGAGCAAACCCTTTGGCGCTATATAAACTCGATATAATAATAATAATAATACTCATGATTCCATTATCGCTAATAAATTCTTGAATATAGCCCCTTTCCAATCTCTCAAATATTTTTCATACTATTGATGTTAAGTTGCCTGGAATGCAGTTTCCTAGCATATATCTCAACCTGAATACTGGAACCACATTTGCTTTATGACAATCAGTTGGTAGCATTCTAGTCAGTAAGGTGTCCTTAAACATTAAAAACAATGGTTTGGCTCAAACAGAGCTATTCTTTCTGAGGACTCACAGGTTTAAGTCATCTTGTCCTGGTGAATTTTTCACAATAAATCTCCCTAATCTGTTTTAAAACTTAATTTCTGTTAGCCACAGAGGTACTTTTAGTACATTATTAGTAGGATTACTGTACTGAATATCAAACCCCCTTTAAAAAAAAAAACTGAAGACCAAATTATATTTAAGGGTTAGGTCCACTTTTTAAGACTGAGTAAATTTTTACTCTGCATCAAAAAAGCACGGACAGTGTTTACCATATATTCAAATGGCCCTAATTCACATCTGTTCAGTGTGTTCCAGTGCAGTCAAAAGTAGAACATGTTGTCCTGTATAGAACACATCTGCAACATGGTAAAATGCATAAAAAAATCACCAGAATGCATGTTTCTAATTGTTCTCAATTGAGATAAAGAAAAAAAAGAGGATAAATGCACAGGGACACATCAAAAATGATTTGAAGCACATCAAATTTTCATATGCAAAAAGGCATCTGGAACAAAGAAATATTGGCGTGAGCTGGCTCTTAGAACACATTCTTCTCCCCTGCAGCCACTGTCACATTTAAAATACACATGGCTGTGTGAGGCTCTGCACGTACAACTGTGTCATTCATTCACAGAGATCTGTAAAATAATCAAATACAAGTACATCTGGCTCTGCAGCGGACAGCTTGTAGTTATCAGTGGAATATGAACGCACTGATCAGTGCTCCCACAATCTATTTACAC